GACTTGAGGCTTACTATGTCAGTCAGTGGACATTGGGAAGGTAACATCATCCTTGGATTGGTGAAATCAACAGCATTTCGGAACTATTAAAACCACTTGAGTAGAACCCTTGGAATATGTACACATTAAGACTCTGGGTTGATATGAGGTGGTAGTTCCTCATCCCTCGATCCTGGGGCATTTGTAAAGTTGTGTGTGGCTTCCCCCTTTGTCTCAGCCCTTCCTCCCAGAAATAACACAAAGAAATAACAAAATTGGAAACAATGAGTTCACCCAGTTTTCCCTAATACTCAATTCTTCCCACCCTGATCAATCATGTAGCCATAAAAACAAAAGTATTTAACAAAATTAAAGTTTGGGTTTTATCTTGAATTCACTGAGATTAAAGGCCACTTTATTCACATTCACCATTTAGAAACATAATTCTGATTGTGATGTGGTACATGGATGGTGCAGAGGATGAAAAGAGGAAATCTGAAGCAACAAAACTAGTCTCAATGTTGTTGCAGTTACTCAGCATCCCCCCCCCCATGATGTGCGTATCAAGGTTTAGTAAATTTAGGGATTGAGAGTAATGAATGGATTAATCTCAGAGATAGTGAAACACCAGAAGACACACAACTGGTTGTTTTTGTTTTTCTTGGGCAGCCCTTTGCATGACAAAATTCACTAAAAACAAAAACAAAAACAAAAGCAAAAGCAAAAATAAAATAAAATAAAATAAAAAAATAGAAAGCAGGTATTTTGTGGGAAGGTACATTATGACTGAATATTTTGAACTTTGCATATCTGTGTCACATTATAGACATCTCAAATAGTCTCAAAAATGTTACCAGGACAAATTGGACTGGAGATAATAATATAGGAGTCACCAGTAATTTGGCATTTGCTTTTAAATTCACAAAGTAGGTAAGATCTCTCCATGAATGTGTAGAACTGAGATAGAGAAAAATAACAGTGATCAATCCCTTAAAGAGCTGTGCGGATGTTTAAGGAACAGGACAAAAAGAGTAGTAGAGCAAGAGTGGGAAGGCCAGCCAGGAGGGTGAGAGGAATCCTAAAATCCAAGAAAATGAAGAACTGGAAGAAGGAGATTATAGTTAACAAGTTAAAAATGGAAATGCTTTAATACTTTAACATTATTTTTGGTAATTGTGATTTTTGATGAGTTTTCCCCAGTTTTTTTCTTGCAAGGTTAAGAGTCCAGAGTGCATTCAAAATTCAAAAATAAATGGGAAATGAAGATGTAATGTAATTTAATATAATGTAGAATAATTCCTTCTTAAACTTTGGGAAAAATTTCATTAGAGTATGGCATGGATTTGGAAAGCAATCTCCTTTGAAAGCCAAAAAGATGGCATTGTATATAAATCTTTTGAGAAGTTACAGGTAAAAAATAAAAGTGGTGAAATAAATAATGAATTAAGACCCATCAAGTGACCGGTGGATAAGTGAGATACAGGATGCAACCTATTCGCATTTCTAGCTGTTCAATACCAACACTTTCTGCATCTCTGATGCCTTGAGATGCAGTGTATGAGAGTGTGTCATCCTCAGTTAAGACCAGTACCGTTTGATGCTCATACTAGCACCTTACGGTCTATTTTGTTATATATTTTATTCCCAGTTTTATCAAAATGAATTGATGAAGGATTGAACAATGCGCTTAACTTGCATGGCATGTAAATACAGTCCCGAAGATTTATCTCATTTGTGAAAAAAAGGCACTAGTGGAGTGTCATAGGTAATAATTCTCTTAGCCATGGACACATTTTCTATTCTTGAAATTTGCATGTTTTAATTTTAGATATATTGAGCCTCTCTCCTTTAAAATTACTGCATTTTAAGAAAGCTTGGCAGACATATAAATTTGTGTATATTTATGGGGCATCATGTGGTGTGTGAATATATGCATGGAGTAATACACAATCAGTAAATATATCTCTGCAAACATTTAACACTCCATTAAAGCATCAGCATTTGAAACCCTGTCTTCTACTTATATATACATACAGAAAAATTAACACGTGTTGTCACCATGTTGTGTTCTTGTTACTCCTGTCCGGCTGTGGCCTAACATTCATTCATCAAGGCTTCTTCATCCATCCTTTCTTTCTGGGGTAAAATATTTTCTCACGCTGTTTCTATTATTGATCATCATCATCATCGTCTGACATATCTACATTTCCTCGCTTTACACTGTGTCCTGTGTTACAATTCAGAAGCATGTACAGCTTGAGTAGATTTGGGCTTTTATAATTATTGCCTAACTGTCTGTGACTGGTTTTAGATAGTCGAGGAATGCATCTAGAATATTTACAGTGCGTTCTTGAACATCAGCATTGATTTGTATTTTGCATTTTTTCGAGATGTTCAGAACATCTGCGAATTAGAAACGGAATATTAAACAGAAGAAAAGGACATCAGGATCTCTTCATTCCAAACCCAGACATAATTATTTATCATATCACCTTTGACATTTATTACAATTTGTTTCTCATATTCCTCTTTTAAAATGAGTTTCACCAGGCCCAATGCAGTCGCCTAGTGGCAAAATTCCATGCCTTGCATGTGCTGGGATCCCATATGGGTACTAATTCATATCCTGGTGGCCTCACTTCCCATTCAGCTCCCTGCTTGTGGTCTGGCAAAGCAGCTGAGGATGGCCCAAAGTCTTGAGAATTTGCACCTGCGTGGGAGACTCGGAAGAAATTTCAGGCTCCTAGTTTTGGATCAACTCATCTCTGGCCGTTGCAGCAGACTGGGGAGTGAATCAGTGGACACGAGATCTTCCTCTTTGTCTCTCCGCCTCTCTATATGTAGCTTTCAAATACAAATGAAAATAAATCTTTAAAAAATTGAGTATCATCTTTTTGTTCCTTAAAATAAAAGTCTGGAAGAGTACATTTCAAGTCAATGTATGAATACAAGAAAATGACCCTTAAACTCAATAGCTAAAAGGTGGAATCAAAACTCTATAAATAGAAACTTCAAAATACTGGGCATTGACTACAGGCTATTTCTGCCCCTGGGTTTGATTTGAAGTAACTGGTTTCTGCCCACATGTCATTGTAAAATGAATTCTAAGGTCGCAAGAGACCGCCTCTCCACATCTGCCTGTACAGCTCTGGTCAGTTGCCCGAGTACCATCAGTGCCCCCTAATGGCTGTTTACAGGGACTGCATGGCTGTCAGTACCTGCTTCTGCAAACAAAATAATCCTGTACTCTTCACTACCGCACAGAGTCCTTTGTGAGAAAAAAGAGTGAGGAAAAATAAAATTCATTATTATCCTTCCTATGATTACAACTGTTGAATTCCTGCATCCTCTCTTGTCCTCTTCCCTCCTGGGGATACATAGTGTCTGAAGAACTTCACAAGCAGTTGGGTTGAGGGGAAAAAAAAGCAAAAAAACAAACAAAACAAAAGAGAAGGAAAGAGAAAAAGGTAAATTACAGTCAAGACATAAGCCATGCTATCTGTAACGAGAGCTTAACCATGGTTATGAAATTTGTGAGTAATTTACTTCCCACTTAAGCCTACCAAAGTGGGAGCTAATCTTGCCACACAAAACACTAATGAAGGAAGTCAGGCAGCAGTACTGTTTGCCCGTGGGGACTCATTTTTCACAGCACCAAAAACTAATTTCTGCTGTTTTGACCATCTGGTATCCTGGATTTTAAAGATGAGATTTCATTCAGGCAGTGCTTAGGAGCCTGAGCCTGGGAGTCAGGCTGGTTTCAGATTCCTTTTACAGGTCTCCTCGGGTCCATTCAGTGTCATACCTGTAAAAGTACTCCCCGTACTTGGGCCGTCCTCAACTGCTTTCCCAGGCCATGGGCAGGGAGAGGGATGGGAAGCGGAGCCGCTGGGATTAGAACTGGTCCTCATGTGGGATCCCGGCGCATTCCAGGCAAGGACCTTAACCATTACGCACCAGGCCTGAAGTTTTAAATAAAGTTAACTATTAGCAGTGGTGATGGTAGTATTAATAGTAATTGTACTACAGTGTTTTTATAATGCCTGCTTGTCTGTGATACTGACCTTATTGATTTAGCATTGAACTTCTAAATTGTATCACCAGTCCTGACTGCTACACTCCAAGAGGGCATTTAAGGATTTCTTTTTGCAGGAGTTTACTCATGGTTTGCTTATGTGGTCACAACATAAGCACCGTATCGTACTAATCCAAGTGTTCAGTCTTACACTAACACACACCAATTTTCTTTCCATGACATTTTGGAGCAGATATTACACTATATTTATTATCATATAAATCTATATGTGCACAAGAAAAGAGATTTAAAAACAGTGATAAAAAGATGATTGCTATCTACGAATTTGCATACTCTAATGTTTAAATGAAGTTTATATAGTTAAGAATGAAGGCATTTTTAGTGCAGGGCTAGGTATACTTCCTCTTGCACAGAGATGGCCACACAGAAAGGTGATTTCTCTTTGAAGGCCTTCCTTGGAACCTCCTCAGAGAATGGACAAGACATAAATGATGATATGGATCTTTACAGCATCCTGGCTACTTAACACAAAATTTCAAATGATGTAATGAAAGATCAAGTTTACCACTTTCACATTCCAGTGCTGCAAGTCTCTTCTGCATTTTTTAAAATATTTATTTATTTTTATTGGAAAGGCAGATATACAGAAAGGAGGAAAGTCTGAGAAAGATCCATTGATTCACTCCGCAAGCAGCCACAATGGCTGGAGCTGAGCCAATCCGAAGCCAGGAGCCAGGAGCCAGGAGCTTGTTATGGGTCTCCCACACAGGTGTAAGATCCCAAGGCTTTTTGCCATCCTTGACTGCTTTCCCTGGTCACAAGCAGGGAGCTGAATTGGAAGTGGGGCTGCCAGGATTAGAACAGATCCCATATGGGATCCTGGCATGTGCAAGATGAGGACTTTAGCCACTAGGCTATGGTACCAGACCATGCAAACCTCTTTTATTGATATGATTACATGTTTCATATGCTTTTGTCTTTACAGTTCCACCAAAGATCTCCAATATCTCCTCGGATGTCACTGTGAATGAGGGTAGCAACGTGACTCTGGTTTGCATGGCCAATGGACGCCCTGAGCCTGTTATTACCTGGAGACACCTTACACCAACTGGTAAGCAACCTTCAGCTTCGCAGGATGCCCTCTGGTGGTATCTCTGGGCTCTGAAATCTCACTGCTTAGAAGAAAAATTAGACTTTGTATTGATAAAACACTAAGAAAATTGCTACTCGGGGTTTAGGGTCTTCATAGTCATTGCCAATGGGTTCAGGTTTATAAAATGTACAACTTTTAAACTAGCTTATCTTCTTAAAGGAAAAAGAGAGGGACATTAAAGGACTTAAGGCTTTATCTAAAACACATCCAATTTTGGCAAGTGAGGGTATTGACACACTTTTTGCATAAATTAAATTTATAGAATTATTTATATTTGTTTATTTTGCTTTACTTATAGTCATCAACATAGCTAGATTATCTCCTAATTTTGACCTTTGTATAAATGGTATACATAATGTTTAAGACTGAATGCATGACTTTGATTCCACCAAATCCATTTTCTCACATGTAAAATTATGCCTTTGCAGATGACACAGTCTTTGAAAAATGGCATCTGCTATTTAATTGTTCTAGAAAGAGGATCAATGAATCAATTACTCTTATAAGATGCCTTTTATTTTGATAGAGAACTCCCAACTTTTAACCAATTTATTCTTTCAAAGTTTCCTTTTATATGTATCTAGGGATTTAATTTACAACATAACCAAAAAAAAAAAAAAAAGGCAGAGCTGAATATAAAGTGGAACTATCTTAAGTTACTTCCAAATGGCCAGAATAGTGTTTGGATGCAGTGACTTTTAAAGTCTCTGTTATTTGTGTGTGAGAGTATAGTGCCATCTTTTATTATTATTATTATTAGACCCCAAAGTAATTTTTCAGGCAATGTTTGAGCCAATTTATATGGTAATGTTATGTTTAGACAAATATTCTTATGAGAGGCTTCTCTTTTCTTAAGAAAATCTCACCCAAAACTTAATACTTGCAACCCATCACTTATTAATATATAAGCAGCCTATTAATGATATATACATCCAAAGCACATTAATTTGGGATATCAGTCTCGAATGCACTATGTCACAGATTTATCCTACGCCTTACTTGGGATAAAACACACAAAGAGGGATGTCTGAGATGTGAACTGAAAGATACCACATTTCTCCTTAAAACAAGCTAAAATTGGAGCACATGTTACTTGGATGGTTCTAGTAGCTCCCAAATCTAAGTCTCCTAACCCTTTCACAAGTAGCATTGTTTTATGAATGGCAAATTGATGCAAAAGCTATTGGCTTGTGTTTCAGGATGGTAAAACAGATGCATTCTAGAATTATTTGATTGACTCTAATATTGCCAAGAGATTATTTAACTTTTACATAATCTTTGTTTGAAAAAGTTCCTTGAGGAAATTTCTCTGTTTTTGGTATCTCCACTGTTCTTTATTTAAGCATAGTTGGTTTGTTCGTTTTTCTTTGAATGGGTCCAGTGAATGTTTGTGATTTTGACTCCTTCATTGTATTGAATGATGGCAAACATCAGGCTAAATTTACAACCTATTTGTAAAAGAATATAAGTTATTATGCATAAATTACATGTAAGTAATACTTTAAACAAACTGCTTAGGAATGTAGGGTATCAAATCTATATATTGTTAGATACAAAACCACACCGAAATAGTGAGACTACTGAGACCAGAATGATGGTAAAACCAGGTGAGGTTCCCTGGGCCACAAGGTCCACAGGCTGCTGCAGTCACACCTGCACTCAGCTGCACATTTCTTTAGTGGTGATGACTGCGCTTGATGCAAAGGTATGTGTTGTCTTCTGATTGGTCCACTTACATGAGTCCAGGACCGCTATTCCCCGTGGGAACTTTTGGCACCACCTAGGAGCTTTCTGCCTGCCCCCAGGTCCTCTAGGCTAACATATATAAACTATATTCCTGCCTTCATGTTATTTCCATACCATTATTTTATTTCACTTTTCTAATTATTAACCTACATAAGCATTTTATTTCTAACTTCTCAATAGCTTGTGGAACAAGGAAGCACATAAAACAAGGGGAAAGGAGAGGGAGAAAGACAGATATATTCCAGTTACAATCAAACAGTGAAATATGCTAATACAAATGATTATTTTGATATAGCTTTGTGTGGTAATTAGCTTTTAAAGGGAAAATATAATTCCTGACTTAACCCCCAAATAGATGCAATTTTGTCCATGAGTAGAAAAATTATGAAACAAAACCAGACTTTCATTACTCTTCTCCATTCTTCCAAGAGCTTTGGTCTTCAAAACTAAGTACAATAAACTCCCTATCATAACACAGTTTTACTTGAACCTGAATAACCTTGTTTTCCATGATATTTCAAGTTGAGAAAAGACAAATGGCCACATCGTATCTTCCAGAATAAAGACAGTTTATTCGTATATTCTCAGAAAACTCTTAATACTTCAAAATCGACTGGAAAAATTAATGAACTTAGAGGAATTCTTAGTAGTCAAAACCAAAGGTCAGCAAAGACAGCCTGGGAATCAAATCCATTCTTGCCTATGTAATACTACCTGCAAGCAATGTGGTTGCTAAATTGCTAAAAAAAAAAAAAAATGGGGAAGGGGTAAATTAAAAAAATATCTTTTGACATGCAAGAATCATGGAATTCAAATTTTAGGGTCACACGAAGTTTTACTAAAACACAGCCGTATTTATTGGTATATACTCAAAGTCCACATTTTTTTTTTTCTAAAGCAGTTGAGGAGTTGCAACAAAGATCCTGTGGCCCACGAAGCTGAGTATACAGCATTTTTTACAAGGTTATTAGTGGAAAGTAGAATTAAAAGATAAATTTATTTTAGTGCAAAGTATTTCTGGAATCCCTGAATAGTTTTATCATTAAGCACATTCTCCATGTATATTTGGAACATCAATGCTACCTTCTTTCTGATCTCTTACAGAGTAGTTTAAAGATCCCTGTGTAAGATCATGGCTTGGGACACGATCACAACTCAGGCATTGCCCATACTCCAAGGGCTTTCCATACTCCAAGTTCCCCCCACCTCACGTTTCAGGGGAGAAAGCTCCTTCTTTCATGGTCTTTTATCAAATCATCCCTGTGGTTAGGTTTTATTCTGACACATGCAAAATTAATTTCCCAATGCATATGCAGACTCGGGGACTGGCGGACAGGGGCAGGGAGCAGGTTACCATTCTCTGTTATAATGGGCATAAATTCCAAAGCCTGCCGTTTGATCACCTCCATGTCTGCCCTGTAAGACCACTCCATCATGATCGTCTGCTGGATGGTAAGAAAATTTACCTATCGTATTCTACAGAGGACATTAGGATTTTTATGGGTAAGTTTTAGTTTATGTGCTTTAATCCTTTCAAAATTTCAAAATGGGGTGATTCATTTCAACCCGTCATGCTCATCATTTCTTGGAGACACTTGGAGAAGGGACTGCTCTCTGCGATAGGAAATCTGCCTGCAGCCCATGGCTGTGTGAGCAAAGGGGGAAAAAAAGCAGCCTGGCTAACTTTGTTCAATTATTAATTCTTCCTTCAACAGTACAGAGATGTGACTGCTTTGCAGAGGAAATGTTCCCGTAGTTAGCTCCACCCTTTAGGGGCATCAAGCCCCTAAAAGGGAAATGATGTGACTCAGGATATGTCAGTATACTATTACCTGTGACTTGATGACCTGACGAAAGAAAAAAAAAAAAAGGAACATTTCTACAAGCAAAAAATTACCTCTTAACTTAGTTCCTTTATTTTTTCTTAATTTTACACAAGACTTTTTTTCCAGCATATTTTAAGAGTTTTTAAGGAAGACATTAAAATGATGGTTGATTCCGCATATATTCAAAATCTTAACATCTGACTTCAATGAGGTAAAAACAAATTGACATATTCCACAGTTGCCTCTGTTACATTTAGGATTTCTTAATTTTTCTCTTTTCTTCAGTCATTTTAACATGGCATGTCACGTATAGAGTTATTAAATGTGACCTATTTTCTCCCTTAATTAAGTTAGACTTTCATAATACCGTGACTCCCAGAGGGCAATTGCACCGTAACATGTATTTTCTATGCAGTGTTTGATCTCTCTTCTGTGCTCAGTGCTCTTCCCCTCTTCATTTAACTTTGTTTCTAAATCGTTCTCACAATCATGGGGAAGTCCCTTTCTCAAGTGCATCACATGATGTCAGGATTGCTCAGGGTTACAGAAAGTGTGTTGCGTTTTCTACAAGGGTTTACAAAACCCCGGTAGCTTCCTAGAGCTGCAAACCTCAAAGATACACTGAGAATCGGCTTTAGGCGGAGAGTCACTTTGGTTGTGCTGTGTCACTTTCCATCCATCCAGAAGCCAGACTTGACAACATAGAGATCTGGTTTGAAGAAGCATCTTGCATTTATTGATGTAAATAGAAAAACACTAACATGGGTGGGGTCAGGAAGAATCCAGGGAGTCTGGAATATATTTTTTTTCATTGGACATTGGGTTTTCATCTGTTGGTATGAGAGATCCCTTTCAATTCATTTCCAAATCTGAATGATTAGATGATGATGTTTTTGAACTCCATTAATGCTTTAGCCTAGTGTGTCTTTCTGCAATTTGTGTAACTCACCCTTAATGACCAGTATAGCCTCTGACTATGTGGGTTTGACAGAAATACGTAATGTTTAATTAACTTTATTTCTTTAAATCAGTCCTGCAGATAAAAGTTAGAAGTAACTGAGATCTGGTCTTTGGAATTAGCCGGTTAGAATTAGAATGATCTTGCCTCCATGTTTGTAGCATTAGGACGCATATGATCCAGGAAACAGGACGTTATTTCCCAGAAATGTTCCTGTATAGACCTTCCAGAATGTTTCATGAGTCAGTCTTGGCAGTATACAGATGTGAAGCAGTCAGATCCGTGAGCTTCACAGGCAGAGGTTATTGATCATATAGTGACTATTAAAAGGAGGCTAAATACTCAATATGCTCTTTAATTGCTTTACTTCTCGCATTCCTAAATTTATATTATTCCAATTTCCCTTTCCAAAGAGGAGAAAATCTTGT